ACCTACGATGAAATGGCGATGTCAGTACGCCTTCCCCTTATTTTCCTTTCCCAACTGGAAGAATGGTTTCGAGGTAGTCCTTATGAAACGGTTGTTCGTATGACTTTACCGACTGCAGCTCTCTTTACTGGCCTCGGCTTGCTTTTCTACTTTTGCCTCGTGATTTTCTTGGACGGCCTCATAGCTCGTCTGATTCATTCAGAGAAAAACTACGCCAGATATTCAAGAGAGAATTGTTTTGTCGCTGAACCGATAAGCGGTATGTCGTCAACGGATCCACTTCCAATTCGTCCGCCTACAGAGGAAGCAAACCAAAGGGAAGACTCGAAGAACGAGTAGCCCTCGCAGAAGAATGTCACCTGTGAATATTCAAAAAAATTCTCTATTAGGCTTTTAAATATGTACTTGAGCACGATGCTGTATGAGAATATACCCAGGACTACGCCTCCAACATGCGATATTCCCCACTCTTTCAATCAGGAATCACTGAACACCACGCGAAAATACCGAAGTTCATACAAAAAGAAATAAGATAAGGCGACAGCAAACAGCATTGTGAACAATGTAGTTGAATGAACTGAGGCTGCGTTCATACCTTACGTCAGCATCCACCAGCGATCACCAGCGTCCACCAGCTTTCGAGGATACGCCAGCGACTGAGAAAGTATAGCTATCAATCTAGCGAACACCAGCGTCCGCCAGCGTACAGCAGCGTTTTCGAAGGCAGTTTCGAACTTGAGCAAACGCTGCTGTACGCTTGGACGCTGACGTTCGCTATATCGATACCTATACTTCCCTAGTCCCTCGAGATGCCGGTGGTCGCGAGCGGACGCTGATGTTAATTATGAACGCAGCCTAAGGCAAAACAATAATAGCATTTAGATGACAATCAGTATCTACTATATGCGCCGCGTATTTGACCACCTTTAAAATCCTAAAGGTATTCGAGTGGGCAAGTTAATTGTGCATTAACCTTTACGCTAGCTAGCATACAAGTAATGAACTCAAATTTAATGGTAATTTTTGAATAGTAAGTACTGAATCGGCGTGCCAAACCTTGAGTAATCCTTGAACTTATCGGAAACACATGTTACTGCAACCATCAAAATAAACTAGTCAATGGAACATCATGACTAGTGAGCTATTACCCACGCAATTAATATGTCGTAAAGTTTTTCTAAGCGCCCGCAAAGGTTCCACCCGTTCAAGGACATTTTTTATACCTTGGAGCAAGTTCAGAAAAGAGTTCTGTTTTGATTAACAATCAAATGACGCCATTTTTATCAACAAAAGCCGTCTTATAAACAAATTTTAAGCAGTATCAACAGCGTGGGTATTCGACAGTGGCGGGAGCTAAACTTGACAATCACGCCGCTTTTTCGACCACACCCTCTTCATGATTGGGAAACCAGTAGACGGTAGACTTCGAATGGGATTGCTTGCTGCGGAGGATGCAAATGAAGCAACATCATGCTGAGAAGCAACATTTCATCCGAAAGCTATTCCCATGTGATCAGAATTAAAGGCAGTGAGCATGACTGCTGAGAGCGAGCGGTTGTCGCCAACGTCATTGGTGGAAGGGTGAGTAGTAGCGTATGTCAAACGCTGTCTCGCAACACGTCCGCCAATAATGCTGGCAACAACTGCCCGCCTCCACCAATCATGCCCGCTTTCTTTAAAGCTTTTGGACGTAGTTCCTTCTGAACAGTAGGCAGGAAAACCTTAGCTTTCGATCTAAAAGGAAACGCCATGGTCCTTCCATCCATGTCGCGAACCAGTTGAACAGACAGAGAGCAAATGGAAAAAGGAAGGAAATTGAAAAAGTGTACAAAAACGTTTGTGACACAAGAGAAATGAATGAAAAAGCAAAGTTAGAATCAAACCACAGTTTTCCCGAGCGCTAGCGCGTTCCTCTAGAAGGAACAAGTAAATCCTCGAAAACACGTTTTGCCTTTTTTTAATGTCTACTCGAACCACAGAAATGTAATCCTTACTCACCATCAGTCACTTCGGCTTTCGCTTTGCACTCCGACTTCGCTCGTGTCGCCGCCAATAGCCATTCCATGGTCAAATCCAAAATGCGTTCGGCCTTCGGCCCCTTTTCGTCCACCCATGGTATATAGGCCGGATTCACTGCAATGAACTCGTTGAAGGAAAATCCACTAATAGTGCACGACATTAGGGTCTCCATTTATAACTTTCAAAAGCGATTGCTACGGAGTAATTGTCCACCCGATTAAGGGTTCTTTGGCTCTTGTATACCAAACACTTGGACAAACATTTCATACCTAGACCAACGAACTATCTAGCAAAACCCGTATCCTTCCACGCTCGCCATGGTTTTTTCACTCCCATGACCGGAAATTCTTGTCCTACGACCATTTCTCAGCTGTATAGCGACGCATAGGAAATACATATTAAATAGAATCACCAGCGGGCATTATGCGATGCATTTGATGGGCGCATAGTGCATGCAAACCGTGGCAGCAGAATTTCCATACGGCTGCAATGCAGCAAACATGATTATGGCCGATCTCCGCTTTTTGAAATGGGAGGGACGCAAGAGAAATGAAGGGCTAGTAAAAATGACACTGCCACTCAGGCAAAAGGAATCGGAAGTTGCCAAAACGAATGTAGCGAAGCCATCTCCCGGGAAACAGAAACTGCTGGATAAGCGAGCGTTCAAGAGCTTCCCTCGCGTTGGCTCACTGAACTAATCTGATCACTTCTTCAGCAGCATTTAAGAGCTTCAATTTCACTTCCATTTTCAGTACCATGTAATAGTGTGTCACCGTTTCTGCTCGTATCGCTCAACGGGGCAGAATGTTGATCGTGGACTTTCTAGCTTATACGGTCTCCAGATTTGTTGAAGGAGCGTGCCAGGTGGGACGAGTTTAGCGCGGCGCCAAACCCATTTTCCACCAGTTGCTGAAGCGAGCACGCGACAAGACCTTGTCCTGTCGCATCAGCCGTTTTCCAGCAGTTTTTGTCGCTGATCCACTTCAACAACTGCTGAAGAACGGGCTTGGCGTTGCGCCGAACCCATCCCGCCTAGCACGCTCCTTCATCAGCAGCGACGGATGGAATGTTCCACAATCGACTGCGAGGTAATACGTGGCCTTGTAAAACGAATAACGGTATCATTTTTTCACAAAAAAGCCTCTCTCGCCTTTCGAGGTATCCGCTCGGCAACATTACAACGGCATTGATGTACAAGAAACGCAGCTGCACAGTCTATTAGCTACTGACCTGCAAGTGTGTGTGCCACAAACTGCAGAGCAAGTGGACGTAAAGAGCTTTCGGCCGGCATTGGTGATTGTTTCGTTTCCGTTATACGCCCTTGGCTTACACTTTCAGAAGACTTTGGGAGAGATCTGCAAATTATTTCAAGTAAGCGTTCACCACTAAACAACTATCACCTCAAACAAAGCAATAACGACGTTTCGTAGGCGTCTGGAAACATTCCCTTTCAAAACTACACAAACTCGCGTCAGCGTAGCCCTGACCATATGGAGTGAGCGCCGGCGATGGGATGCGGCTTTTGGTTTCATTCGAGAGATTTTACAGAGACGACTTGTCATTCCGACGGAGCCATCTTCTTGGTCTCTATGTGTTTCAACGACATGGTCGTGGCTGAGAAAGAAGGCTAACTAGCAGAAACCTAAAGTGTTGGCCCACCGATTCATCTGTGTGAAGGACCATACATATCCCTAGCGTAACGTTCAATCTTTGTTGGAGAAGCAGTGAGTACATTCACGTAAATCCTTCCGATTCCCTTTCACAAGAGCTCGCGTGAAACCTGTTTGTAGCTGCTCACTCTCTTCCAACAAATTCTTTATCCGCAATTGGTAGATAGTAGAAAAGGCCAGTAAAGGTGTGTCAAGGAGAAAAGCGAGACTGCAAACTAAAATCACGCAGAACTAAGCTGTCCCAGAGCACCTGATGTTAGGGAGGGGGGAGAAGAGTGTGTATGCGGTAAATGGAACTATGTGTTGCCAAATCTTGTGCATTATATGAATGTTTTTAGGAATTTCATTCAAAATTGAACAACGAAATTCCGCAACAAAAAATAAGTGTCAAAAGGTGGGGAGGGGGTGGAACTTGATACAGAAATCTCACTCTGCATACATATCACTCTGCGAAAAGTCCACCGAAAACCGAAGTCCACCGAAAAC